GCGGCGGGATCCCTCTGCAGTGCCACTGCTGGAGGCACAGGGAATGGAGAAGGATGGTGGCAGGACTGGGATCATTGTAGGCACTCGCTCACTAACCCGACCTGCCAAAACCTGTCGGAGGCATGGCATGATTTCTTGCAGAGCCGCATGGTTGCCTGTGGCCCCTGCAGCCCCACGAGGCCCCATCGCCCACAGCCAGGGCAGCTGCAGACCGTGGGGACCGGACCCCTCTGCGTGTCACTGCCAGGGTAGGCTCTGGTGGCAATACCCTGGCAGAGGTGACCCTGCGTGTGGCCATCCTGGGCTCCGGGGCTGGGGGAGCAGCCAGAGATGCCGTTGGGGAGGCTGCAGCACATCACTGGGGCTGGCGGCCCATCTGCTGCAGGACCCCTATGAAATGTTGTGTGCAGAAGAGAGCTGGTCTGGGCCACGTTAACGCTGTGTGACACTTGCTGGGCTGACAAGGGGGATCATGCTCCTCTGGGGGGTGAGAGGGGGCTGTGGGTGCTGCACACCTCCCAGGGAGTCTTATAGCTGTGTTGTCATCCCCCCCTGCCGGGAAACTCACCTTGCTGCAGCCGAAATCAGCCCACAGCCCAGACATGTCTCCAGAGATCAGCTGGCACCAAGATGCCAGCGAAGGGGTTTTGCTGCTTCTCTTAACCCTCAGCTCGTCCCCAGGCGGGTGCTGCCCACACCGGGCACAGCCGCTCTCTTCTGCTATGGGGGCGCGTCCCAGGCTGTGAGCCCCCACCGCTGACCTCGTCTTTGTCCTGGTGTGATGGAGGGGCCTCCGTGCTGCTGTTGCTGCTGTCCCGTGGCGCTGGGATGCATCTCAGGGACCCCAAAAGGGTGGGGGATAACGGAGGAGGAGCCCAACACCCGGCACCCGGGTGCCCCCGCGCTCAGGCTGAGTATGCTGCCTGGGTTGCTGTCCCACTGCATCGTGCCACCAGGAGCTGATCCTGCCTCTGCCCATCCCTGAAGCCCTAGGTTGGCTGCAGGAGATGGCAGCGGGAAGGGGCTCCCGTGGTGCCCCCAGGCCCAGGAGCCTCGCAGGGTCCCTCTGCAGCGGCATCGGCACTGGCACTGGCTGCGGGGTGCGGGCGCTCCCTTGCTGGGGATGCAGACGGGCAAAGCCAGACATTTACCAGTTATTGGAAGGCTCGTTTTATCGCGCATGGGAAGAGCCAACTTCAGCAGTTTTCGGTGGTTCCAGCAGCAGGGCAGCTCGCTGGTTTGTTGGAGGGATAAAGTCTCTGGCTCCAAAACTCCTGAAGCAGGGCTGGCGGGCGCTTTGTTTGCAAGGGCCGGTCTGGGTCTTGGCATGCATTCGGCTGATGCATGCAAACTCCAAATCTCCTTGCCAACAAACCCAACAAAGCGGGCGACTCGAATGTGAAAGCTAATGAAATAACTCCCCGACTTGGTGTTTGGGGAGACAAAGGCTGCGGCCGATCAGCTGACCTTGGTTTTCATTGGGTTTTAATCCAGCATTCTCGCTTTGAATCATGCTTTAACTATTTTGTAAATAGTTTTGGCACCATTCTTCTGCAGCTCGGTATAAATTCCACCTCTCGGGCCCAGCCCTTCACTGGCTCAAGCGGGTACTGGTATAACTGGTAAGAATTTTCTATTTATTGTCCTTCTTTGTCGTTGCCTCCTCCCGACCCCCACCGCCGGAGCCCCCTCCTGCAGTGCCGGGCAGAGGCACAGAGATGGCAGTGGGATGCGGGCACGCAGGGGGTGAGCCACAGGGACAGTCCTGTCCCTGCAGCCCAAACCGGGTGGCCAGCTCAGGAGTATTGCCGCCCGGCCGTGGCTCGGTTTTTGTTTTATTGGGAATGACCCGTTTTCACCTGATTTGGAGCCTGCTTAGACACGGGGGGGTCCTGCTGGGCTTGAGGACGAGGGTCCTTCATAGGGGCGGCTGTGCCAGGCGGAGCTGGGAGGGCTCGGCGCCGGCGACCCTGCACATGCACACACGCACATGCATGCATGGCCGGGGTGGGCCGTGGGAGCCCCAGAGCTTCTCTTTGTCACCCCGTTCAGGCACCCATGTGGGACAGGGACTCCTCCGCTGTCACTTGCTGGGCAGGAACAGTGGGAAAAGCCTCGGCTGCAGGGGCTGGGCTCCCCCGGGAATGACTCGGGAATGCCCTGGGCACATGGGTCCCCTTGCTCTGGGCTGGAGACCCTTTGCAGGTCCCATCATGGGTAGTGATGCTGCGCTGGGACTGTCACCTGGGCTCCTCCACGAGCCTAGGGAGGTTCATCCTGTGAGTGAGCGGTGCTGAGCAGCCCTGAGCAGGGAT